GTCTTTGCAGCATTTCTGACTACCAGCCTCGCATTTACTGGGTACATGCTACCTTTTAGACGAACTACGTAACAAACATACTCCCTCCAAGTACCTACGTGCTACCTATAGTCATATATAGATGAGCTATGTATCTACTTTCTATTTACTACATACATATATATATATATATATACATATAAATACACACATATATATATATATTAAAATAAACAAAAATATAAATTATATATATACATAGTTCTTTTAAAATAAATAAAACATATATATATATACTAGTAATTACTAGTACATATTATATATAAATATATACACATGCGTAAAATATATATATTTATAAATACATATACCTATCCATATATATATACTCTTAAGTAAATATATATCCTTATATATATATACATACATATACATATACATTTACATATACATATACATATGCATATAGATATACATATATAAATACGTATTTATATATATATGTGTGTATACATATACATGTATACATATACATTAAAAAAACATATATACATATATATATATATATGTATGTTTTTAGATATGTTTATGTATACATGTAAAAATATGTATACGTATGCTTGTATATAACGCAGTACCACACCGCCACCACACCACAGGGGGGGAGGGGGGACAGTACCCCACCACACCACATGGTGTACTAGGGATGACCCATGACCATGGCCGGGAGGGGACGGGGGGTTGAAATGCTGGACCATACATGCATACATCTGTGTTGAAGCCACCAATGAGAGCACCAGTCTTGCAGCCAGTCCCAGGCGTCCGCGCTGTCCGTTTCCAGAAATCGCGTCTCAAGGTTTTTGAATTTCTCCTTCATCTCGGCCTGTGGTGGTCAATGCCAATTCCTGAAGGAACATGAGCATTTACACACACACTGTATGCATTTATGTTGCATATTTAGATTTACTTCACAAATACTTACAACTTATTATATATATATAATATGTAATCAATTAAGTATAATTATATACATAAATTATATATACATATCATTTGGCCAAACATTGGGGCAGCTTTGGGCCAGGAAAGATTCAGGCTGTGACATCATGACGCCGTTCGTGCGCAGTGAGGCCACATTTCTCACTGGGGAGACCAACATTGGATGGCTCACTAAGATTTGATGCTGAAAATGACCGGCCATTGATGGTTATACAATGTTGTACATCATATCCCCATGATCTCCCATCATTATCACCTCGCATCGCAGCCCATTTGCAAACCGACTGGCTACCCACCTAGGAGGTCCGTGTAGTAGACACACCCCGAAACTTTGAATCTGAAAGAGGGATTCCCCAAAAGGATTGTTCATGACTTGACATGACCCATTTCGAGTTCCACACGGTTCAGGTACACAGGGGATTGTCTGAAATAGGGTACCCCTAAATCCACTCGTTAATGATCTCTCTCTCTCTCTCTCTTTCCTCCTCTCCCTATGAAGAATTGCAATTGGTTTTATGGGGGAAACCAGGCCGTGTATGCAACCTATTATCAGACACACCCATATCCATGATTCATTGGTCCAATGCCTATTTCTGATGCTTAACACATCAACCTCATTAAATCTTCGTGTTGGTTGGTGAATAATATAATTTTCAGATACACCCACGTGTAATTATTGTCATTTGTCTGCTCGTCTCCGGTCCAGATGCACCTCCAGTTTCCCTGTGGACGTCTTCAAGCGACTCTCAACGCCCTGGCTCTCTGCAGTTGCTTGTTCTTTGGCGTATTTCCTCAGTCATGTCAACATAGGTCAAGCCTCAATTCATCAACCCCAGGTGATGTATACAATGAGACAATCAGTAGGTTACAGTGCGTCGCGAAAAAGTGACGTCATCTGCTACTAAAATTGATACTAGTAGGCCCAATAAATCAGCAAAGGGATGTATTGGGCTCTCAAACCATATGCAGCCACCTCACAAAAATAATGGGCTTTCTAAGCAGGTTTGCGAAAAATATGAGGAAGGCCCATCCGATAAGTAATCTAGATTTCTCTGTGACATTTCGGTAGGTTTACCTGCACTATGTCGTATGTAGCAATACGTTTGGCTAACAGTTTCATAAGCAAGCAAAGAAAAACTACGGCGGTTTAATCTACAGTAATCCATCCCAGGCCAACAAAAGTTTGTCACTCGGGGTAATTCCCGGAGACAGAAACGGAAAAGAGAAACAAACACCCACACAAGTGCAAATAAGTATGTAATAGTATATATATATGCATTCTGCATGCGTGCATACACATCTTATTGCATATTATCTGATATCTTATATATTGTGTCATCACATAGTCAAACAGATTCAGTTTGAAGTTCGATACTGGACTTCCAGTGGCTTTGCAGCAAAGCTACCTCATGCTTTCCTCAAAGACCTTGGGTTTCCAATGAGCACCTTTAAGGCTCACAGCATTTTGTGCTCAGAGGCACCCCTAAAATGTTTCATGCTTCTTACAATGACTCCAAGCAAAAATTAACACGTGTGAGACTAGAATTCATGACACATGTTTTACACATGGTCATTCGTCTACTGCAGTTGGGGAATCCCATCCAGTCAGCAGCCAACCTTTTCACGAAGGAAGCATCTGAATAGATCTAAAGCCGTCCCTTCAATCGGGGCTAGGGGATTCCTGGCATTCCTGACCTGAAACATCCAAATCTGATGATACTAAATACTGACCTGTACATAGAGGATATCATATTTTTTTATCCATTCATGACAGTAAAACGACCAGTTTTAATTGGCACTGGAAAAGCAGCATGTTCAAATGGAAGACTCATCTACGTTTACCGTTTTCGGTGTCAAAAAAATAAAAAAGCTGCTATATTCATAAACCATCATAAAAGCACAAATTACCCTCCAGTAAAGTAACAGACATACCGCCAATCGCCGCATATCCGTCATTCGTAGGTCATTGTTCAACGCAAAACCCACGGGTTTTGCCCAAGTCACTCGATGCTCTGCGGCGGCAGCGCTGGAAGATTCGTGGAGGCTGGTGAAGATCTGCTTCGTGTCCTGCGGAATCATCTTGGTGAATGTGTCATCATATACATAATTATACATAATTATACAATATTATACATATACAATTACTCACTTATATTTTAGTAAAGGTACAACATATATCATGTGCTACACCAGAAAGGGAAACATATATTTAAAAGGACATATCTACATGAGATGTAGATAGTACACAGGCAATAACCTCAGCTTATGGCCGTACATTTCGCGGATCACTGAGTCTTATGTTCGTACTTGTAACTACATGTGCCATGGCCAACACTATATATATATATAAATAAAAAAACGTTATACATTGGAATATTTAAGGTGTATTAACCCCATCCCAGAATGATGGGATTCCTTAAACTTATGATGCAATGGCTACGTTGACTATGACTATGACCGTGATTGTGATGAGGGTGACGAGGGTGGTGAGTGTGACGATGGTAAGGATGGTGATCATGATGAGGACAAACAGTGGCATGTGTATGGAACAGGGGTCGCATCAGAACGTACTCCGCAAAGCCCAGTATAGGGTGGTAGGGTCACATGCCACCCCACTAGCACAATCCAAGCAAGGATGCTAGGCTGGGAAGAAGGCCCACGGGAAACATCTAACTCAGCCTCTTCCCAGTTGATAGGAAGCCCTGCAACACTGAACACTTTTGACTATCTTTGAACCAGGAAGTAATTCCCATCCCTTCCCAAGGAGGGGCCCCGATCCGCCTTGAGGGCTGCGCCTCGTGTGCAATCAGAATTCTGCGTGCACTTCTTTGGGTAGGAGGTGTTTTACATTGGAGGGATGGGTTCACCATATGTTCTGAAGTTTAATGAAGATGTCTGACCGTTTTCTTGATAGTCACTATGGATTATTCTGGGCAAGGATAGTCAAAAGAAACATACAAATAAAACATAAATTATTCCTATTCATGGATGGTCTGCGGGGAGAACTTTTGGGGGGATTGAATTCGGCGTCTGACAGTCTGACGTCTGAGACCCAAATGCCTGATTCCCCTAACACCAGGTTTTACTCTCACCCCAACAGTTTCTGTGCTGAATATGGGTCTCATTGAAAATGGCTCTGCTATTTGACGGAAACAATGATGACTCACCAGTAAATTATTGCCCCCTCCCCCTTGTTTCAGAGAAAACCATATTGACCGGGGCCAGAACTCATCTGGATGCACTCGGTTGTGATGTCACTCAAGCCTCAGCTAATGCTGCGGCATGAAGCTCTATTTGTCAAGATTTGTTTGATGGCTCAGGATCATAATGTGATAATTCTTTACCTGGGGTCATGTTGATTTCTTACTTCATTTGGGGTTGGGAAGGGCGGGGAAATGATTTCTATAGATTTGCCACATATAAATGTCCACTTGTCGAATGGGGGTTGTGCAGGCCTCTCTGACCATGAAGACTACAAGAAGAACATCTCCTAACTCTGGCAGAGGCATATGCATCTATCTTGTAGATACACCAAAGCTTTGCTGGTTGTAATGGTTCTTCTGTCTTCACAGTGGTATCTTGCAACGATGGACTTTGAAAGATTGCGACACATACCATGCACCTGCGATTGATGTGCAATTTCATTCAATTCGTGTCGGAGTTCTCATTGGCATTTAGTTGCTATGGTAAACATGATCCCATCAAACATAACCAAGGTTTCCCAGCCATCTATGATAATCATTGATAATCTATGTATATATATATATGCCAAACACAAATGATCAACTTACGACTTTTTATGGAAAGTAGATTTGGCGCTCGGGTCGTGGCACAGGGCTGGGTTGGTCCCTGCTCGGCCTCGAATTCATGCCTTGCAAACGCTGTGAGTTCAACTACAAGTACCTGCATTTTTTTTCCCTGGGTTCGGTCGACTCGTGTGGAAGCAAGGTGCGACAAATATGCTGCAACTATTGGTTCCAGTATCCTCACAGATTTGTTTTGTTCTTGACCGCCATGGCTCTTCACTGCGGACGGCTCTGCTGCCAATCTGTCCAACCAGTGCTGTGATCAACAGCCAGGGAGAAAGAACGCAAATTCTTGGGTTGATTCCTTAAAGAGGACGGGGATCCGTAGAGCAGTGCCCAAACACTCGCAAATAGGCAAAATGAATCAAAATGAATCAAAATGACTTATAAATGATGTAGCCAATTGTCCGGAGTTTTCACAACAAATCACAGCCTCGTTTACCGTCAGATCATCGTGAGCCCAGAATCGTATTCACATGGCATTACACATGTCACATGCACAACAACCATATGTACACAAATGTGCATATATGAATATATATATATATACATAACATCATTAATCATCGAAAGAAGTTTAGAAGTCAAACTTCCGACAATATGGACAGATGAAAAGCAGAGCAGGGAAGAGGCAGAGAGAAGAGAAAGATTAGAAGAAAGAAGAGTAGAAGAGAAAGAGTAAGAAGAAAGAAGATGCAGATGCGAGAAAAGGTAGGAAAGTCGCGAAACACTGTGTTTTTCCAATGATTTGTGGATCCGGAGGGTCGAAAAGTAGGCTCGCTAAAGCGGCGGGTGCGGAGCCAGCTGGCCAGATGAGAGATGGAAAAATGCACGCCGTTGTGGCGCGAAGCACATTTCGAAGTCAAAATGTACAACGCACACCAGGCCCGGACCACTTTTGGCAGTTGCGATGTCGAAAAAGCGCACGCCGTTGTGGCGCGAAGCACATTTCGAAGTCAAAATGTACAAAACACACCAGCGTCGGACCACTTTTGGAAGTTGAGATATCGAAAAAGTGCACGCCGTTGTGGCGCGAAGCACATTTCGAAGTCAACATGTACAAAGCACACCATTCTCGGACCACTTTTGGAAGTTGAGATGTCGAAAAAGTGCACGCCGTTGTGGCACGAAGCACATTTCGAAGTGAAAATGTACAAAGCACCACATGTTCGCGCCACTTTTGGAAGTTCCGATGTGGAAAAAGTGCACACCGTTGTGGCGCGAACCATATTTCGAAGTGAAAATGTACAAAACACTACATGTTCGTGCAACTTTTGGAGGTTCAGATGTCGAAAAAGTGCACGCCGTTGTGGCACGAACCACATTTCGAAGTCAAAATGAGTCAAAATGTTAAAAACACCGGGGGTTCGGACCACTTTTGCAGGTTCAGATGTCACTTCGCTTCGCTTCGCTTCATTACAATACACTACATTACACTACACTACACTCCACTACACTACACTACATCACACTACACTACACTCCACAACACCACAACTATAATTACACAACTACACTCCACTACACTCCACTACGCTCCACTACACTAAATTACACTACACTACACTCCGCTACACTACACTACTTTACACTACACTACACTACATTCCACTACACTTCACTACATTCCACTACAACTACAACTACAACTACAACTACAGAACTACACTCCACTACACTCCGCTACACTACACTACATTACACTACACTCCACTACACTACATTACACTAGACTACACTACCTTCCACTACACTTCACTACATTACACTACACTCCACTACACTAAAACTACACCTGCGACTACACAACTACACTCCACTACACTACATTACACTACACTACACTACATTACACTACACTACACTACACTACATTCCACTACACTCCACTACACCATACTACATTACACTACACTACATTACACTGAATGACACTGCAGCACAGATAGACAGGTAGACAGATAGACAGATAGACAGATAGATAGATAGACAGATAGACAGGTAGACAGCTAGACAGATAGACAGATGAAAGAGAGAGAGAGAGAGAGATAGATAGATAGATAGACAGACAGACAGACAAACAGATAGATAGATAGATAGGTAATTAGATGAAAGAGAGAGAGAGAGAGGGAGAGCGAGAGAGGTAGATCGATAGATAGATAGATACATAGAAGATAGATAGGTAGGTAGATAGTCAGAGAAAGAGAGAGAAAGAGAGGAGACGTCAAGCACCTTTCGGTCCATCAGTGGATTCGCTCTGCCATCCCGGATTCACAACAACCAATCTCTCCTATAGGTTTTCTATTTTTGAAACTTCCGCCACCGCCTTGTGCGGTACTACTGGTAGTCAAACAATATCAAATTACACACCACGCTCAAATCAAGAAAAAGGACAAAAAACACCCAAACGTCCGGCATCGCTGCATCACTGTCAATAGATCCTCCCTCTACAGGCTCTGCTGCCACACAGGCATTGCTGGTGCCGAAGCGTCCGTCCGTCCGCCTCCAGCACGGCTTCCGGGGGCATGCCGTAGTCGTAGCGAAGCTCCTGCAGGGAGCGGGGCGATACAGCATGGCTTGTCTTTATACGTTTTTATCCCAAAGTTTGGTTTGAAGTTTTCATCACCAAAGTTGCCTTTCTTATGGCCTTCGCCTGGGAGTTATTGGGCTCACTGATTTTTGATCGACATTTCCCGACCAAATTCTGGTCTGACCAGGAGTCGGACGAATTGCTGTGATGCTTGCCTGAAAGTTGAAAATCAGATGGAAAATAAACAAACAAATGCACAAACGAAACTAAGAAACAAGAATAAGAAAGTCATAGAAAGTGACCTGGGTCTCATGTTCTCGTGAAACATCATCTTAGCAGGCTAAAGTATTGACAAATTCTTGCCACTGCCTGAAACCGCCAATCAGTCGACAAATGTAGAATCGTGTAGCAACATGTAGTAACTACTTCTTGATCAATCCCAACCAGCAACCCCACAATGCACCAAGCAATTTCCACGAATCTCATCCCTGTGTTGATGTTCAAGGATGTGGACATATGTGGACAAGGAATTATCTTCCCAATTGTTTCCCTTAAAGGTGGATGAAACAATGGTACCAATGGTATACCAATGGAACATCAACGCAAAAAATCAGGTCCTCCCCAGGTGCGATGTTGCGATTGGCGAAGAAAGCCACGCGGGGGAGCTTGGCATCGACCACATCTGCATCCTGCCAAGAGGCCAAGAGACCCAGGGAGAAACTTGGGAGGTATCCCATATCCCCACATCCACCGATTTATCATGATTTATCATCATCTTCCCCATGATTTGGTGGCCACAGCTGTGGGATATCCCCCATGTTCGGACACAGCCGTATATGAGACAGCATTATTGTGTATGATCATGGTGAGCTATAGGTCCTGTCTATCTACTTCCGTGATCACAGTATGCACTGCCAAACGCATCCGTAATTAGCCTGAAGGTACCAGTAGGAGAAGACATGGCCAATGATGTGATGCCATGATGTTTGCTGCTTTGTATGTGTTTCATTCATAGCAGTGGTTGCAGGGGAAAGCTGGGGCTCCATTTTTGAACTGAACGAATCATGGCCCCCTCAAACTGACCGCTGTGTTGGAGTGCCACTACGATGTCAAAACACATTTGTTCGTGAACTGCACCCAGCAAATGGCTCACAAATCACGAGAACCCCTTAGTCCCCCGCAAAGGATACCTGCCCAACAATCGCAACAGGCGTTGTCAAAACTAACAGATCTATTGTATCAACATGTATCAACATTTTTTAATCGATTTCACAACTTCATCAACCACAGGGTTTCAGCCCCCATGACACGCCTTCTCCACCACAAAGACGTACGTGGGACTCACATTGGCTTCGTTCGATGGTCCACAGGCGTGATTTAGAAAACGACCCACGTTCCCTTTGACGTAGGCATCAATGACGTAGACCTGGGGTTTATGTCAGCCATGATGTGCCCGGGCCCGCCACCCCCCAAAAAAAAAACTATGCCCCAGTGAATTCTAGTTGCCCCATTCAACATACTGCTTCCCTGTTGGATCCATCATTGCTGGTATTTGAACTTCGGCCCAACACCAGGGCAAAATTCTATGTTACAAGCACCGAAGCTGGAAACGATGTTCCTACAGTACACGTGATACGTGTAAATCGTCGTTCAAATAGGAGAAAGCTAGCCACTCATCATTAGTCACCTTTAGAAGCGCAACGACAACTTTGGCAACTTCGGAGTTGTGCCACCTTTAGAAATGCGAGGACAAGACGGACACGAGCTCTGATCCCACCTATGTGTCAGAATGTGTTGGATTTTTATTTTTGGCCAGACTGCGAGCTGCCAAGCTCGGAGTGTTTCTGAGCCATGATCTCTGTGAAAAAATCGCAATTATGAAATTGAGCCAGAAATGACATAGTTTCATATTTCATATAGTTTAATCCCATCCCCCTAATATTGGGCCCTTCCCCCGAAAAAAACCATAGTGTAGGAGGGGATGACACCACATCGACCATAGAAATGGTGCTGGGCAACCGGATGTTGCTCCTCACCACCACTGTCAACCTGCGGTGGAGACACTGGAGACTGGCGCTGAGAACCATAGAGGTTCAGTTATTTTCAGATATGTGCCATGATCGAAACATGATTTTCACATATGGTCACATGGTGATATAATGTGATATGTGTGTATATGTAAATATATATATATATATATGTATATTATATATATATATTATGTAAATATTTGTGTATCTGGATTATGGTCATCCATCCAAGAATGGGAAGCCTTACCATGGGTATGACAAATCACTGTTAGTGGATTGATGACCACCCCCCAATATGGGTATGTAATTCACCGTTTGACCAATGCACATATCTGATTGTTCATCAGCTGTGTATTACAATCCGAGGGATGAGATTCTAAGTCCCTGATTTGTGGGTTGTCCCATTTATAAACTATGGTTGTTTGAATAGTAAGTCCCCAATTTGTGGGTTATCCCACATAAAAATGGTTTATAACTATATGTTTATGAACCACTTATATATATGGTTATATTATTATAAGTGCATATTGTCAATCACCTATTCACATACATATATATATATATATATATTGTTAACATTTATTAACCAATTATAACCCATGGTCATTAACCACGTTTTGATCAGATATGATTCTAAGTAGGCTATTTAGCACCTATGGTTATCTAACCAATTTTGTGAACGTCGTGCCTGCGCACCAAGTCCTCTACATTGCTCGGGCGTGGTCAGGTTGAACAAATACCTCGCTTGAGCGCCGAAGACGTTGCTGGGCACCCAGATGGTACCCAGCTGTCATAGATTGTGAATGTTGATTACCCCACATATATTATATGGAAATATTGAAGGATGTTGACTGGGATATTTTAAGGTAGATATGACATGATATATATATATATATATGTATATAAATATAACATTATATAACTACAGTTAGTGGAGTTTATGAATCTATAACCAACTTCCAACTAGGGGGGCCCGAGGGGGGACCAACTTGTGGTAATAGAGATTTCGCATAAATTCGCCACGTTGCGGACCCGTTAAATGATTTCCAGGTCAAAAGATGTCAAAAAGTCAAAAAACATCGCAGCTCATTGTTTGGCCCCCTTGCCTGGTTTGTGCAGAAATTCAAAACCCAAAAAGTTCGAACAGAAATGGTTTTGCCCAAAGTACCCCCGAAAACTACCACTTCCATAGCCATCGGTAATCAAACATGGATGGCTGAAGAACCCTTGCAAATCGAGATTGATGAGATTGTTAATGGAAAAAACATCGAACTAAATGCTGGTTTTTTTAACAAACCATGTTCGAATACCGGAGGGTAACAGAAATTCATACCTGGTTGGTGGTCCTCACCCATCCCAAGTGCCCAAGTACAGTAATCTCAACCGGGGATTCATAACCCCTGGTTTATTAGTTGGAGGGGTTAGTTCCTCAATAGTCATCATCTGATACTTAATGGTACCCCGCCGTTAAACAGCCTAGGGGCCTAGGGGTCTATTAATCCAGGGTTGACATTATGGTTTAAAAATAATATGTATATATTATATATATATACACGTATGAAACGGCCAGATACGATGAACAACCCTTGGACTGTCGCCATTTTCATCGACGATCCAAGAAACGCATCACGCCCGGGGCTTAGGCTTTCAGCTTCAGCGTCGGGCAGCAATTCGCCTGGGGACCACCAGATCCAACTGCCAATGTTCGGGGAGTCAGGATCAACATTTTGGGGTCAAGAAAGTGGGGCAAAACTAAGTATCAGTGGATAAGCTCATGATATATTAGCCAACTCCCTCCATGATCCATTCAAACTGAACACATTGCAATGTACACACATATATATATATACACATATGATGTATAAACATTATTAATTATTAAACATTGACATAGCTCAGGGGGAAGAATGCCAGGGTGATCCAATGAAAATGCTATATCATGATGTTTAGGTTTCTCCCATCCGGAAGCCATATCAGGACACCATTTCTTGAACCTTTTACTATCTGTCGGGATATCAAGCAACAAAATGTTGAGATAACTGAAAACTACGGTATTGATCATTGGTGGGTGGTCCAAACCAAACCCCCTAACAAAATCATGCCAAATAGGGCAGCTAGGGATTCACAAGTATGTAATTTGCATCAACTCTTGGAAAACTAAACAGCTAGGGTCTAGGTGTAATCGGCAGGCGCATCAACCCCCCCCGCCGAAAAAATAAAAAACTAAGAAAAAGAAAAAACTAAGTATTGAAACTCAATGTGGGAGAAGCATGATCACTTCAGAATTGATCAAACCGATACATATATGTGTTATATGTTGGGCGGGTGGTGGCTGCAGCCCATGCCGCCAACAAAAGTTGCATCATCGAAATAGTCTTCCCAAGTATTGATGGAAAATAGAGCTGAGACTGGTTGGATATGGATTCTGAATCGCTTGCTAGGCTGTTTCCCAAATTTCATTTATATAAACAAATAATATATATATATATATATATATATATATCGTTGTAGAACCCTCAGCCCTGCATGATGGCCCCCAAGCTAAATCCAGCTCCAACAGGATACAAAAAAAATGACTATAAAACTGCTTGAGCCACTTCAGGAGCAGCAGTTATTGCAACTAACTACTAGGCATGAATCACCTCAGATCCCCTCATCGCCCACAAGCACCAAATCCGCAGGTGCCTGTGTACTCGCATACGAAGCTGCCAACAGGGAGCTCTTGAGAGGACCGCACGCCCCATCCAACATCTCCCATCCAACACACCGTCAGCGGCCGCGGTCCGTGTTGCAGCACCGGCGCATCCCAATGTTCGAAGACCGCAAGGGGTGCTGCATGGCCTTGTGAGTCAAGCAACTAAGGCACCAGAAAATGATCGTCTGGGAAGATGATGTGCGCAATGAAAATGGGTGGTGTCCATCTCCATAAGCTTCAATAGACAAACAGCCTCTGTGTAGGAACTGGTGCGGGTCAAGCCATTTGTCACCTTCAAAATGGAGAAATGAACATCCCAAAATTGGAGAAAAATAACCGTATATAATACACTATATGGATTGAAGGGGTCTTAGCCGGTCTTAGCTATTGAGAAGTTGGATGACCGACCGCTTTGTTGCTGTCAATTCTGTCAATTCATAGTTTTTCGATTCAAATATCTAGATAAACAAAAACAAAGTTCTGTTGATTTGCATGCCCACTACTTGAATCAATGACATATGCCCACTTCCGAAAAATCAGCATGTTTTTTGTTGCTTTCAACCCTCAGTATCATATTGGTCATGTTGAACAACACCCGGAAAAAAAAGGTAAAATCTGACTAAGCCCGCTTACAAGGTGGTTCCCCCTAGTTATATGTTGGTTTCTTCACCCAATGTTATTTCATCACTGTAAAATTTGAAGCTAGAATAAGCTAGATATAATATGATATAAACCAATCTACATCCCAGTAATTCTCCCGTTGATTGTCTGTCATGTGGTCAATGTGGTTAGGAAACTCTTAGTAGCTCCTTGATTAACTTCCTATTTACTAGGGAATATGGATACCCCGAGGTCCGAACCGCTGCATGCAAATACCCTCCAATCATCAAACATGGCCATGGAAAATCCGCGAGTCATAGATGATTTTCCCAGCTAGAAACCTCCATTTTTCAGAAATTTCCAGCCACATTTGATTACCGGGATTTACCGGGCATTTTCCATGTCATATCTCATGAGGTATCCATTGTTCAATGATTCACCATTATTAACGATGATTTCCCCCCATTAACCATTGGTTAGTTGCTTGGCTCTCCTAATCCCACAAGTGAAAAACCCAAGGATCCTCGGCAGAGCTGTCGAACCCGACCCTCCAGCAGCCAGGAACTGCTGCTGGGCGAAGGGCATGGAAGTGGCCTGAGCTGATCTGAGCTCGGTGGCCATTGGAAAAGCCACTGCTTTGTTACGACGATGGTGGGATTACACCATATTACACCATCAAAATTGGGATATACTCCATTTCCCCTCATTTAAAAAAAACACAGTTTAGGGGATTTACAGCACACATATTTGGAACCATTTAGGGGGGTTTAATGTTAGGTGGATGGAATTAGCTAATTGGTATACAATGGGGATGTACTACAACCAATCATCGGACGATGGTTGGTGGTTCAGCTGAGTCAGTGACTGTGGCTCGAACATTGGGTGCCAATGGACCCGCACAAGTGGTCGTGTTTGGTAACAAACTAATTCATGAACAAACCATTTTTTACCAAACCTAAGTGGGTTACATGACAATTCGGATAAGTTTGGTTTGCGCAGTTGTACCTGGGGGTGTCACCCACTGATTGGCTGGGGTGAACCACAAACTAGTCATGCACTGGTGTCTGGCCTTAAACAGTGGACCATGCTATGGAATACCAAGCATTTATGTTTTGATCCTGGCATACACTGCATAATTAAATGTAAATGTATGTGTATTTGGCCTGAATTATGATGTTTAAGGACAACATGATAAATCAACATCAAAAAATATAGTTTTTTACACACACACACCACAGAGAAAAAGAGAGAGGGGGAAAACCACATGTTTAGTGTATGTGTTTTTGGGAACCCGACATAGAGTTTTCGATGCCTGGGTGTAGTAAACATGTGTTTTTGAGTACGTATTGGATAAATCATAGAACTGGTTTCAAATATTTTCACATTTTGAATTTTGAGGGGAAAACCCCAAGAGTCGGATGGTCAAAACCCATGCATTTCATGCACACCTTCTTCGAGAAGTCAAATCGTTACGATGCGGATAGGTCTTGATTGAGAACGGCTGATGTGGATATTTTCATCACATGCGTAAATTTCGAAAGTTGTGGCAGTTGAGTGCTTGCGTCACAACGCATGCGATACGATCGATTGTCATGACTATACACACTCCGATTATGATTCTTTTTATGGGACGCCCATGGTTTCAAAACAAACATGCTCTATTTACACCTGCTGTTTTTTTTTTTAAGTGTTCCAAACCTATATTAGCGCGCTGCAGGGCAAATATTATTGCCTCGAAATATGGATGCATCTCCCCAACAAAGATGTCTGTACCAAAAGCGGCCGGGAATCCCATCCTAGATGCTCGGCATTTGTTCATTCTATGTGTTTATATATATACTTATTCAGTGGTATTTAAATAAATAAAGAAAGAATATAATCTAAAATGTATGTATGTATGTATGTATGTATGTATGTATGTATGTAAAGGTATAGGTATAGGTATACTTTTATATACATACAAATTTACATATGTATACATATCTATCTATATACGCCATATATATATACATATATACAGATACAAATGGATTTACGCACATGTATATATATATATACACATATACATATATACACCTATATATACACAAACATATATATATTATATATATAAATAGTTTTATTTATTTATTTATTCATTTATTTATACGTATAATTGTAGTCCAATAGCTGCATGTGCATATATGTATACAAGTCCGTGTGTATACAAGTCTGTGTGTGCGTACACCGTTAAAACAAACGGTTTAACTTTCATAGTTCTGCAGCCAACAAAGACGGCTATTGTGATATTGACTTGAGGCGCCAAGTCAACGTACCTGTTGAAACTGTTGGACAAACTTTTATCCTCAGGTTGTTTAGGTG